TCCTGGAGGCAGATGATGTCGGCAAGCTGGTGGTCAGCCTGCAACAGAGCGAGGAAGCGCCACAGCCCGGGAGCATCCCGGAAGTTGACGGAGAGAAGCCTGGCTGTGGATCGAAGCTGATTCTTTGGATGAAGAGGAAACGGGTCTGGATCGTCATCCTCACCTTCGCCAGCTTCGTCGGTGCCAGCGGCATGGGAGCCGGCGTCAGATTCAGGAGCAGGGCCCGGTTGAGGCTCGACTCCCTGCTGCACAAGCTGGTCAAATCGCAGATCGGCTTCGGCCTTGCTGAGCTTCCAAATTTGGAGTAGCATGTTCATGTTGGAGGCATGGCGGCAAATGCCTTTCCACCGAGTTCGTGCTGCCGTGCTAGAAGGAGCCTGGGATCCACGGCATGGTGTGGATTTCCAAGAAGTCTCTCTATACTTGGCGATGCGGAGGCATGATGTGCAGGTAAATAGTCCCTTTCCGATGTTTGCCCTTTTTGCCGAGCCAGGGCCAGTGCTGCCAAAAGGGAGTGAATTGCACCAATTTGTGGTTTCCGATAGTCGTGTCTCGTTGCTGTTTTGCCTGTTGCTTGCGGCTGCTGTTGGAGTATCCAGCGGCAATGTTGGGCTGTTTGCCCGGTGTTTGGCGTACTGTCGTCGGCGGTATGATTGGATAGCCCCGTTGGAAGTGTCTCTTTTCGGGTGTTTGGTATCATAATGATGCCGGACATTTTTGTTCTTTTGATGGTAGTTCCGGAAGGCCGGGAGACTGCATGACAAAAGGGGCAGGTCCAGTCTCGTTGGTCCTCAGGTAAGTCATGGCTGGCTTCGATGATTGGTGTGCGATTAATGCGAGTGGCTCGCTCGTTCATTGGGAGGTCACGATGGCGAAACATCATGTGGGAAGTCCTCTTGGAGGATATGTTTTTGCTGCTCGTACCAGTCAAGAGAACGGAACAGTGTGGGCAGGTCCATTTCCAGGATGAGTCCGTGACCACTGCCGGTTGGTGCAGCTTGCTGCGAACAGTCGGATGGGCAGGTCGAGTAATGTCTGGAGTGGAGATGCCTTTTGCTTTTTTTTGAGGTGGTTGCACAGGAGTAGAATCCGGTATGTTCAACCTTGGACGCTTCTGCGAGCTGGCTTGTGGTGTGTTGGATGGAAACCATTGAGGAGTGCTCAATTTGCTCAGCCGGTGTGCGGATGCTTTGCTGCTGGATGCTTTGCTGTTGGTGGGTGACGCCGTGCTCGAACCGACATGGGTCCCCGACCCACCAGGGGTAGCGAGCAGGGGGTCCCCGCGCGCACGGGTATGCCGGGGTGTGCGGCTGCGGCTGTTTGTACTGCTGCTGCGGGCTGGTGTCTCGAAGTAGTGTTGCTTTTTAGAACTAGAGCTGGTTGCTCTTGGCATGTGAGTAGGAAATGGGTTTGGGCTTTTGGAAGGAGTGCTGGGAGGCATCCACGCAGAATCGTCCATTGGAGATTTGTCGATACCAGGTGTATCATGTCTGGAGGAAGGCTTCGAGGCGACCCCAGCACGGGGTATTTGAGAGAGAGTGTCGACATTGGTGATCCATTCCTGGGGCCAAGAGCGGGCCTGGTTTGGAATGACGGCTTGGTAGTGTTGGTCTTTCAGATAGAGGACCAAAACTTTCATCATCTTCGTCATCATCATCCTCGTCGTCATCAACATCGTCGTCGTCATCATCATCGTCGTCATCATCATGACAACAGAATCATCAAGGTTGTTATATAACCCCGCACCACAAAACGCGTACAGACACAACTGCACCGTTGTGATGCGGACGTATCTATTTATATACTATTATACAGGATGATACAGGTGTGTTTGAGGGTGTATATAAAGCTACGCCGATACAAGTGTAGAAATTCAGGTTCATGCGTGTCAGTGAGATGAGAATGGCTGGAGAATCCTCGAGACGTCGGCGACCCTCCACAGGAATCATGCATGTCGGATGCACGAAACTGCAATGGGACACAGCAGGCGGCCCCTCTACAGGGATCGCACGTGTCCGATGTGCGAAGCTGCAGTTGAGACGCAATTTTTTTTCATTTACAGGTCAACATCCAATCCTGACCTTACCTTACGAGCAGATCCGGCTGACGACGTTTCAGCAGGCCTGATGCAATGGCCTTTCACAGACATGGACAAGTTGTTGAAGACATGTCGGAGATGCCCCAGAGATGAATTCATGCCATGCCAATGCCAAGAAACTTATCAGAGGTTGTAAGAAGAGTGCGCTCCATGCTACACTGCTACACAGAAAGCAATGTTGCTGTGCAGTTGGGAATGGTCATGGATGTTGTTGGTGTCGTTCACGTCTTGTCTTAAACAACATCAAGGATTCTGCGACTGTCTTGGAGCACCTCGAAACTCGTGCTTGCAATGATAGTCATGAGCAAAATGAGAATCACGGCCAAGGCTGAGGAACCTCCATACAAAGACACTATGTTGAGGAAGTACGGGCAAAGAAGCCTTGCCTCTGGCAAAGCGCTTGCCCAGATCTCCTCCAAGATACACCATGCCAGTCACCGCAACTAAAACCTTGACAAGTTGGCCCATGTGGAGTAATACAATGTAAGCAAGTACCGTGACTAGTTTAGCGTCAAAATAGCACTTGTCACCAGTGGTAAGAGGGACACGGCAAGTGCCGGGAAAGACAGAGTCAGTGGGCCAAGCCTCAATGGGCAAAGTCTGCAGCATTCGGCATGATTGTAATCTTCACTCAGCAACATGCTGCACGATGGATTTTGCAGCCTCAGATTTATGGAATTCAGCAAGCATCATCTGTGTGCAATCATCTGCTCGGCTCCCTCGCTCTCGCGCGCTCTCTCTCTCTCTCTCATTCTCTGTATTGTCCGCTGCAAACTTGGCACAAATTCAAAAGCAGCTGACCAATTGAATTGCACCTGCAGACGTGAGCAAGGTCCTGCATTCTTCAATACTCAAAACTGTGAAATGGTGAATTGATTGGATTGATTGCATTGTGTCCTGAATTTCTCCCCCCAATTTGCCGCCACCGCAGAGGCCGAGATCCTGGTTGCGCTTGGCATTGTCAATGAACACAAACGACGTGCCCGGGCATTGGCGTGCATTTTATATTCACATGAGGCCTATTAGGGTCCGTTATATGGTTGCATGCACCCGTTTGCTCGCCGATCATGGCACCAAGCTGCCCATACTCAAGGGTGATAAGTGCAGCCCCGCAAACTGCAAAAACCTGGTGTCGAGAGTGATTCAAACAACGGTATGACTTTGAGAGTACAAGACTGGCCTCCCCCAACAAATGGTAAGCAAAAGCGTAACCAGCACCAGCTGCGGGAATACGTGCAGAAAGTTCCATATAGCTAAGCCTATGAAGTGCCACCCAGAAAAAGCAAACTTCTCTCTTATGAGCAGAGACGCACTCAAATTTAGAATTGCAGAAGCTAGAGCTTCTCTGAGCCCAGCACGCAGAGAGCAAGCATCCGAAACCACCAAAGCACCAACAAAGAACCACGGCAGGACCAGCCTACCCGCGGCAAACAGTCCCGATGTCAAAATGATCCAAGATGGCTGTGCTCATGGACACTGATAAACGGAGTAATACAGTAACACACAGTGCAATGTATATTGTTTGGGGATGTTTGGGGCTCAACCTGTTCTTGCACAAACTTCTTATGGCATGTCCGAGGCACTGAGGCATTTGGTCTCCTTGCGTTCTTCTCACTTTCTTCATGGTATTTGCTTAGCTCACAGAGTTCCAGCTTGCACGACAAAGATTATTCCTTGTCCTACCGTCCCTCTCTCCTCTCTCCTGCTTCTGCTCCCTCCTCCCATGCTTTTCTCTCTTCTCGTTCTGCCTACTTTCTTCTTCCCTTAGCTTCTCTCTGGCTGGATTATGATCTATGGGGAAGAGTCCCTCAACAAAGTCCCTCTGCCCAAGAGAAGTGCATACAGGGTCTAATGAAAAGCATGCTCAAGCAATTAGTACCAAGCGCTTGCAACTTGGCACCTCCTGGTTGGCCACTTCGCCTGTGATGGAGAATACGCCAGTGCCGACAGTGGAGCCGACTCCAATTGCCTACAGCTCTATGTTGAACGACAAATCAAGATGGGCCAAGACAGAAACGACCTGAGCTCAGTCCGCAGCGAGCAAGTCCCAAGTGCTCAGGGATCGGGTCAAAGTTACTCCATGTGCGCTGGCAGCACCCTGCAATTAGGCATGCGTGCTTCGGTCGAGGCTTGACTCAAAATCGTGGTACCAAACAAAACACAACAAACAAGACTCGGACTGTGAATCATTTGAAGTCAGGCCTCCAATAGCTCTTCCCGAGTCTTTCTTGCAACAAGCTGCTGCAGCATTCCATGGAACTCTCATGAAAGCAGTTCCTGTACGTAAGCCAATCAGGATACTTTGTCAATGTCAATGTATGGTAGCGATGCGTCGTGTCTGAGTTGTGCCATGCAGTGTGAGCGCCGTGTGGGCGGCGTGGGTGCGCCAGAGAGTGTGAAAGAGAACGGCGTGTTTTTTTGGTTACTAGCAAGGTGCATTGCTACTAGTAACAAGGGCATTACTACTAGTTGCAAATAGCTACGTTCGTAGCTTCTTGTTTGCCGGGAGTCTGTGTGTAATTGCAACTTGTGGTATCTTCGGCGTCCTCCTGTCTACATGCTTTTCCTCAGCATGTTTGCCTTGGAACTGATTTACAGTACAGGTCTGTGTCGATGTCAACCTCATGCTGGTAAACTGCTGTAGCAGCCATATTTTCCTTCGCCATGCGCTGTACTGCATTGTTGTGTGCAACAAGAGTCATAGTGTTAGTTTGATAGAATACATGGGCATCAAGAACCGCTTGGGCCTTTCGGCAAAGGTGGATCGAAAATGCAGCCCATTCAAGTCAGTTCTTGCATCCGGCGGTACAAAGTTGCAAGGCATTGCAAAGCATTGTTCTCCACTGCAAGTGATCCTTTTTGGCCAAGCGCAAATTCACTGCTGAAGTAAGCACTCTCATTATCAAATGTTTGTCAGCAACCCTTGTGTTTGGAGTTTCTTCTTTCCTTCGCGGAGCTGGTCATACACCTGGAAATTCATGTGTGAGATTGAAGTGCTTTGAAAGTTGCAAGACGAACCTGTCGTGCAGACGGACGTAGACGCGCATCAAAGTTGTAGCACGCTGATATGACAACCTCACTGAAAGCACACAAATAAGTGACGAAGGACGTTAAATATTGCCATGGCCATGCGTGGATTTAGAGTCAAGCATATCTAACTACACAACTCTATTCTTGGCTCCGACTTGCAAAGGCTCTGCAATTGTTGGAGGTATGGATGGTGTCCTTCACAACGCCACTTCAAGAAATTGCCAACATCTCGCAATCTATCCATCACTGATGAAACACATACACATCGACCCGGTTGCACACGCTCCTCCGGTTGACAAGCATTTCACGAGTAAGTTCTGCCAAAGTGTTGATGCCCTCGTACCTTGGTCAACAATCATCAGCTTCGAGTAAATTCCCACCAACAAAAGCAAAGCACGTGCACAGGCGGACGCCACTGATATTGTTTTGTCTGACTTGTGTACATAGTGGGTTCTTCTTGCAGTTCATGGAATTTCCCGGGCTTCAAATTACTGTAAAAGCAGGGAAACCCGCTGCATTCGTTGAAAAAAGTTGTTTCTTTCTCCTTCTCAAGGATTCAAAGTCATCGGGAAGAAGAATCAGCACCGTTCAGCACCTAACCATTTTGGGGAGCTCTAGGCGTTCACATCAGTGAAAGAAAGTTTTCGACTACACAAGTGCCGTTGAAATAGCTGGAAATTGTGGTTGGCAAATAAACGAACACAAAATTTGCATGTGTCAGCTCACAATTGAAAACTCAACCGTTGCTTCATAAGGCACTCGCAGAAAATACCCACAACATGTACATATAGGCCAGAGTGAGCATGCACGCTTGCATGGTCCCAAACAATGCTTTTGACATGGCACAAAGCTGAAAAGAAAAAATGCTTTGAGACACTTGACACGATTTGCTTCGATTTACCAATTGACTTGACGTGGCACGGAAGTGGTCCGCCATTGATTTCCGTGAAGATGCAGCCCATCGACCAAATGTCAACCTGAACTAAAGCACTTTGCGAAAATAGTAGAAACTTTCCCAGTCCTTGCAAGTTCCAAGATGTTCCACGTGCCTTCTCAGTAATCTTCAACTTGCTGTCGAAGAGCTGCGACACAAGCTTAATTTTTTTCGCGACCAGGTGGATGCAAAATATGTTTTACCCGCCAAAGACTGCAACACGCAATCTCATGAAATACCTTCAGCTGAGCAAGTTTGATTCAACTAGGTGTGGGCACAGACTTAGCAGGAATACAATGGAATACTTGTCACAGGGACAGCAGGAACAGACCACCCCCGCCATAATTACACCATGGCATTCACACACGCGTCCCCAAGCTTGCCAAGCCCAATGCCCCCGCCACAGCGACAAGTTCAAGCGTGCGCGCCCCAACGGTAGCAATATCGAAGAAAGGTGTCTTTGGGTTATCAAATCAAAACCCGAGAAAGCTCTCTCATGTAAAATTGAGCAGAGAAGCAAATAACCTTGGATGAGTACATTGGTGGATGAGGACGATAGGCGACGGCATGCTCACCCTCCCCAGACCTGACAAAATTATACAAAATCCGCAACATGACATGGACTCCACCATCACATGAAATTGTGTAAGGACACTTCTAGCTCAAGTCAGGTGAGAGGGAGGAATCAAATGATTCCAAGGTGAGCTCGAGCACGAGGGAAGGGGCAGGGCTTTCAGGCATGAACGCTCCCTTCTTGCTTAAGCACCTTCTGGTACTCAGCAGCTACGAACCCGAACTGCAAACAAAAGAAACGCATGCTCTAGAGTACAGTAGGGTAGTGTATAGGGCTCACTGTGGTTGACAGGCCAACTTCTGGCCGCAACACAACCGTCCAAGCCTGACTGAGGTATGGGTTTGTTGCGCATGAGCCTAGTTTAGGCTTATATGCTTATAAGAACAGCGACAACACCCTGGCAAGAGCCGGCGCAGGGTCAACTCCTCAAGTAAGTACTACGCCGTGTATACAGTGCTGTAAATATAAATGCAATGATGCAAACAAATGTGTGTCTACAACTGTGACAAAGGCACCACCACTTGTTAACAGGCTGAAAGTCCTTCACCGACGATGCTCTCCACATCTGAACAAGCTGAAACTGGGACCTTGGAAATTGTACGTAGCAGTTTTTCTGCCGCACTTTGGCTGCGCATTCCAAGACTCCCAAGAATTATCTGCAAAAACCACGGAAAACATGTGGTCTTCGACTCAGCAGCTTCTCAAGATATGCGACTGAACCTCACAAACTCAACACGTTAAAGTTAAAGGCCTGCTTGAAGCATTCACTCCATAGTAAGTGCAAAGAACTCACGAGGCTCGAGCTGCTGGCACAGCGTAAAAGGCAACCTCTGCTGCTCTGCCAACACTTATGAGTTCAATGACTTGGGGAGTCATCTTGTTGCTGCCCCTATCAACAAGACTGTCAACTTGAAATAGATGTTTTTGAAGATGCAAATGAAGGATGATGAAAGCTGAAATGCTTGATAGTTGATGAGATGATATCATTGACACTTGCGTAGTTGATACTTAATGTCTGTTTCAGCTGCGAATATTATCAAAGGCTTGAGGCCACAAAAGCAAGAGGTCCCAACAAATGCGCACGCTCTCAACTAAACTTTACGCTCTCAACATCTCTTACGCCTCGTCTGCCAATGCTGCCAATGAAGCATCAAGGGAAAGACCTGGAGCAGTATTGCTGGCTACGAAATCTGAGGCATCTAGCTTTTCCACCAAAACAAACATCGCTGCCCTCACACAAAAAGCTCAGAACAAGCTTGGCTTGTCACAGTCAGGATGATTGACATCAAAAGCAACCTAAAACCAAGGAGACTAATGTAATGCGCACGCAAGGCACATCAAGTTGCAAAATGTTTGCATGGACAATGGAGAGCAATTTGTGTGGGTTGTGTCAATTTCACAATAGAGTTGCGCATTCTGACACGACACACCTCCATTTGAAACATACGATTCTTTGGCGTTGGCTGAAAGTCCGTGCAAAGAAGGCTCTTCTGAGACACATTCAGAAGCCTCAAGATTTAGACAAGGAAATGTGATTGTCTCAGGACGAGACCCCCATCCATCTCTTCTGAATGCTAGCTACAACAGCCGATCGATAAAGGATACCTGGTGGACCGGACGAGGCACAACATGTCAAGTCGAAATGTTTCCTGAACCGTGGAACTAGGACCATGATGGACCATGGTAATTGAGGTAAAGAGTGTGACTTTCTTGTATTCATTCGAGAGGCTCAATTTGCAATAATTACACTTGACACAGCCTCCAAAGCCACGACTTACCATCTCCTTGCAGCGCCTGCGGACAGTACGTATATATATATATATATTTAGGATCGTTTAGGCAAGCGTGATGCTACAATGGAGAGACCCTAGCGTTTGAAAGCTAAGTTTCAGAATGCCTCAGTATGTGTCAGTCATCTGTGCAGCTCTGGTAGATCTAAGCCCCGATCTCCATCCTGGAAAGTTTGGCATTGGGACCTTCAAAGGCAAAACCAAGCAGTGAGACCTTTTGGAGAAATCAGACTTATTCTTCGAAGCAGTTCACTTCATTTGGCTTCCACGTCCGGCCTATCCGGGCCAAATGGGGTGAAATGCAGCGACCAGCAGGACAACTTGATGATAATGAAAGAACATCCCAATCGCATGGGATCTCCTGCAGAGACGTATGCCATATACATACAAATGCCATGGTATGACAGCCAAGACTTCTTCCGATGCGTCTTTCCCGGGCCAGCCACTCATGCAACGCAAAGACTCTTCTTGAGCACGAGGTCCTCTTGGATAAGAGACCAAACTCGTTGTTGAAAGTCACGGGCGAGCCGAATACCGTCCTTGTAGAAAGCCAAGAATGTTTTGCACCAGCGCATGAAGATTAGGGAAACTCATTTATCGCTCAAGTCCTCCAACACTAGCGCTAGCGGCTTGTGTCCGGCCAAAGCGCTCGCCATGCGTTGAACATGGAAGTGACCTTCGATCACAAACACTCTCTCTTCAAAACCATTGACAATTTGCAAGTTTTTGTAGTTGTCATTAAAGTTGTCTGCAGCTTGGATGTTTTACTCAGCATCTTGCTTGCAGCTCTGCTGGCAGCACCAAGCTGGCGTGCGCAGTACGACATACGACATGCTCGATGTGTGAAGTTGGGTGGAGAGAAATGAATCCAAGCAGCACCTCATCTGCAAAGTTTCGTGGATCAAAGCCATCAGGAACCACCCCCGCTGCAAGGGCCACCTTCCGAAGCACGACCAGAAAAGTGCTAGAGGGTGTGACAAGTATGCAGGGACTTCTCCTTAAAACCAGGCCTTCAAGTCATCCGAAAACAGCAAATCCAAGCCTGCACACAGAACATGACTGTCCACCCAGTGCCAGTTTTTCACTCTGACAGGCAAACCCGAATGCAGAACCAGCTTGCAGAGTCAGAAGCTTTCCCACAAGCACTCCGAGGCCAGATTTGCATATCCTTAAAGTGGCTACCAGTAGGAGCGTCTTCCGGCAAGTAGTAGATGCTTCCACATCACACCTAGCTGTGAACTGTTTGGGCCACCTTTCATTATGTCAGTTCGATTGAGCTTCTATAAGTAGATGGTTGTCTCTGTGAAAAGCGCTACATGTTACATGTTCCTCCACTCAGCTCCCTTCTCAGAACAAGCTGAGGATTTTGAATGAAACAAAAGCATGAAGTTCAACGCATTCACAAACCGCCTGCAACACGAACAGCTTGGAGACCATGACGAGCCAAATCTCAGCACTGCAATCTGACTTGTACTAACGAATGTGTCCCTAATAATCTAGGAACCACATCATAAGTGCAAGCGCTTGTTCTTCAAGGAAGCTCCCCCCCGCAGCCTTTAGGGCGGCGGTGGGAGCTTCCTTGTTCTATCCTGCGTCCAGTTACCAGAAGCTTAAGCTTACTTAAGCTACTAGCGGCACCCCAGGCCTTTGAAAAAAGAACGAAAAGGACCAGTTTGGCTCCAGGAGGCTCCTTGTTCCCCATGGTTCTTTTGTGCAATGACAGCCGTGTCATGCTCGCCTCAAAACATATACTTCGCCTGTCCTTCACATGTCCGCTTGGAGCCCCACCTGAAAATGTCTCGTGCTGCTCGCTGATCCTCGCGTTACAAGTTGAGCGTAAGAATTATATGCAAATCTTGGTGTTTTCGATTGTTTTCGATTGTATGTTACACGTGAATCTGCAAATCAAAGGCTCCGACACTAAGCCTGGCATCTCCAAAACATAAACCTGCCAGGTCGGTCACGCTTATAGAATAAGTTTGGATAGGGCAATAACGCTGTCATATCTTGGTGTTCACCTGAGAATACCGTGTGTGTGTACATATATGTATATATTATTTATATTTTTTTTTTAATTTAATTATTTATATTTATATGTATTATTTATGAGGGCTTGATCCTTGATTTTTTGACCCGGCAGCGGGATGAAACCTTTGAAACCAGCATTGACTTGCCCACCAATCGTGGGTTGATGTAGAAGCTTGAATGCTTTTGAAACAAGGAAGAAGGAAACCGTTTGCACAATGCAATTAGGAGGAAGCTCAGGGTGTTCAAGTCCAATTTCCATTAGCTGCCTGGTCGTTGAACCTGTCAAACGGGTTAGCTCCAGAAGTTATCTGACAATTATGCGATGTTATTGCTAACCAATAGACATGACCTGCCAAAGAACAACAAGGTCATTCAAGGCCGTCAAGTAGGACGAAAAGGGGCTTTGGACTCCTGTCATAGACCATACTAGGACGCTCAGCTGATGTGGCCCAGGGAGCCGCTAGGCAAAGAATCCACTTCACAACCGCAGGACGACAGGCTGTCGACAGTGTCGTGACAGGTTGAAAGTGTTTCAAGGTGTTAGATACTAAATACTAAATGATATAATTCAAGTGTTCCCAATAAATCTAGGAAAGGTACTAGGCTATAGTATAGCCTAGTACCTTTCCTATACTAGCTACTTCAGCATACTTACTAGATACCGCCACCCCCCCAAAAGAACAAACACTTCGCACCTGAACGTTTCTCTCGAACCAAGATTGAGATCGCTCCCACTCATCGGACGTCCAGGATCTT